CGGGCGGATTGTTTCAGCTCAGGAGTTCGAAACCAGCCTGAGCAAGAGCGAGACCCCATCTCTACCAAAATTAGAAAGAAATTAATTGGACAACTAAAAATATATAGAAAAAAATTAGCCGGGCATGGTGGCGCATGCCTGTAATCCCAGCTACTCGGGAGGCTGAGGCAGAAGGATCGCTTGAGCCCAGGAGTTTGAGGTTGCTGTGAGCTAGGCTGATGCCACGACACTCTAGCCCGGGCAACACAGTGAGACTCTGTCTCAAAGAAAAAAAAAAAAAATTTAAGCCACCCTCTTCAATCAGGGTAAAACTGTCTGACAGAGAAGCTAATTAAGAATCAAGTGCAGTGGCTCTTACCGGAAAGAGTGAGTCTGGGGCTCCGAAAGACCCTGCCTCTCTCTCCCCGGGCCCCATGTCCCCCATCGTCACCTGGCTTCGTTACACTCCTGGTGCTGCCTTAGCAGCCGGAGACCCAAGCAGACCTGGCCCCTGCCCTCGAGGGGCTCACACTCTGGAGAGACACGCATATCGATGTTCACACAAGGCTTGTGGGATAAATGGATAAATGGGTGGCTTCCGTGCCAAGGGTGCTCCGGAGCACATTCAGCGGGTTGACAGAAATGATGGGCGTGGGGGCATTTGGGAGAGGGTGAGAGAGTGGGACAGAGAGTGTGTCTCCTTGTCCAGAATCTATCAGACCAGATCAGGGCATCCACGGGTGGTCTTTAGGAGATTTATGAGCCCCCTAAAATTATAAGGACAAAAATGTCTTTTGTTGTTATTGTTTTTCAGGGAGAGGGTTCTTCCCTTTTTTCCGATCCTCAAAGAGGTGTGACCCAAACAAAGGGCTAGGAACCACTGAGACTCTGTCTCTCTTCCAAAGTCTGCTTGGACACTTGCCGAGCAAAGCGCGGTTTCAGAAACTGTTGGGGTACCGGAGGAAGAGGCCGCCTGGGTGGCTGCTGGGGGCTCCTAGAATCAGTGTGCCGGAGACGGAGAGGCCTTGGTCCCACGTGGTGGAGGCTGGGGCGACTCACCCAGGTGTGCTCCGCCCTTGGATGTCGATTGCTGCAGGACAAACCCCACTGGGCCTCTCATCCCCGGTCACCTCCCTCTCCACCTCCGGGCCTCCCGACAGCTCACTGTAAGAACAGTCATCCCATCCCTGGCTTGCTCATCCCTTCGTCCCCCTCTTCCCAGCCCCTCCACCCTGTCCTCCAGACCTCATGGTCCACCATTAGCAACCTCTTCTCTTCGTGTCCCTTTTATCCTCCCTAACTGAAGCTGTCCCTTGAGGACACCATCTCCCTCACACTGTCTCTCGTGGGGCTGTTCTTCTCCCACACGCCGCATCCCGTGGGGCCTGGAGGTGGGTGCACGCAATTCTGTCTCTCCATCACCACCCCAAACCGCCTTTCTCCCTTCATCCTCAGAAACCCTAGCCCCTCTGAAGTGCTCGTCACCTTTCTTTAGCACCCCTTTTCCCTCCTCGATGCTCTTGGCGACTGGCCGCTTCCTCAGTCCTCATGCGCCTTGATGCACCTGTCTCCAGCGTCTGCCTGAGACCAGTGGTTCTTAGCAGAGGCAGAACCATCCCCTTGGAGGCATTTTGGAGATGGATGGGGTTTGCTTGCTTGTCTGCTTTCTAGTGTAGTTGTGCCTCCCTGTTTATAAATTAATTGTTATTAATTGTTATAAATTACTCCCGTTTTTACATTATCTGTTAGGGCATTATATTAATTTTTTAAAAAACATGGTAGCTTATAGTATTTTATGAATTCCATTTCAGCATAGAAAAGGGGACATTAAAATATATTTGCTACACAAAGGGGACGTTTGGTCTGATAGCACTGAGGAAGGCCAAGGCAGATAATTTCTCCAGCTCCCTGGCTTCTCTGTGACTCCAGAGATCTTTTCCTCCAGCACACCCCATCCTCTAGGCAAGAGGTCACTGCCTAGGCTCACCATTACCAGTAACCATGCCACTTCCAAAATCTAGATTAAACATCCCACTCTCTGGCCATCACCTCCCAATCTTTGTAGTTCATTGACTGCAACAATTCTCCAACCTCATAGAGAGCTCCAGGCATTGACCCTGTCACTTTCCTTTTTCATTGTCTCTTTTACCTTTTGTGTTCTCCCTTCTTCCCCAGCCTGGGCTCCATGGTCCATTATGAGAACCACTCCCTCACAGGCATACATAATTCTCCTGTCTGCTTGCCCAGGAGAACAGTCTACACTAGGTAAACCCAACTTTTTTCTCATTCCGCATATGCACATGAGCAAGCAGTGTGAAGGTGTGGAGGAAAATCCCATCACCAATGACGAGACTTGTTTCATATTTATGGGCACAAATCGCTACTGGACACTCAACGCAGTGAGATAATTCTACCCCGTCTCCCTTGTAAATTCACTCTCCTGCTTCCCAGGATAACTGTTTCCCACCTTTTCCTCTCTCCGCAAATCTTCAACACTCCCTCCCTATCCCTGCTACCTTAGCTGATGACTTTAAGTGAGAAAAAGATGCACTTGGATGAGAACTACCTGATTTTCCTACTGTCATTTCTGTCATTCTCTCTCTACCTGTGCCCACTGAGCCAGTGGTTGCTTCTCATTTTACTTGAGCTGACCTGTCAGCAGCATTTAAAAGGGTTACTGCACTCCCCTTCTTGAAACACATCCTTCTCCAGACTTTGGGGTCTCCACGCCTGCTGACCTTGCTTCTACCCCAGTGCTTGCTTCTTCAGCGCCTCCTTTGCTGGCTCTACCTTCGCCCAAGCCACCGCCAAACCTCTAAACACCTGCAGCCCAGGGCTCTGTCACTGGCCCTCTTCTCTTTCTTGGAGAGCTCTGCCGTCCTCACAACTTCACGTTCCACCTCTACACTTATGACGTCTCTCTCCAGGCCAGATCTCTCCCTAAGCTTCAGGCTCATATGTCCAATCGCCCACCTGACTCTCCCAGTAAGATTTCTATCAGACATCTTAAATTTGCCATGACCAAAATGGAACTATTCTTCACTGTGGCGGGCAGACTAATGGCCCCCAAAGACATCCAAGTCCTAATCCCCGAACTTGTCCATGTTACTTATATGGAAAAAGGGACTTTGCCAGTGTGGTTAATTCCAGGATCTTGAAATGGGGACACTGTCCTGGATTATGCAGCTGGGCTCTAAATGTAATCACAAGTGTTCTTATAAGAAGGAGGGAGATTTGATGGCAGAAGAGTAGTAGGAGACGTGACAACAGAAGAAAGATGTTGGAGTGATGCAAGCAAAAGGCAAAAAATAAAAGGCAAGTAACTTCTAGAAGCTGAAAAAGGCAAGAAAACAGATTCTCCCCTCAAAGCTTCCAGAAAGAACCAGCAGGTACCCTGCTGACACCTTCACATTAGCCTAGCAAGACTGATTTTAGACTTCCGATCTCTAGAACTGTAGGAGGAATATTTGTGTTGTTTTAAGCCACTCAATGTGCGGTCATTTGTTGTAGCAGCAATGGGAAACTGATGCAGTCCCCACCACGACCACCACACATACCCCGACCCTGGTGCCCTCCACGTCTCAGTAAATGGCTCCCCCACCCATCCACTGCTGATGTCAAAAGCTTCAGAGTTGTCCAGATTTTTCTCTTCACTCCCACCTACCTGTCAGCAAGCCTGTCAGCTCTACCTCTAATATGCATCCTGACTCCAGTGATCCCTCGCTGCCCCCACTGCTGTGACGCTGGTCTAGGCTGCATCATTTACACCTTAAATTACTACATGGCATCCTGCTTGGTCTTCTGCTCCTACTGTCCCTTCTCAGCTTATCATTCCCACGGGAGCCACAGTGAGCTTTATGAAGGGTTAATCAGATCACATCATTCCTCCTGTTGAAACCCACCAATGGCCTCCCATTATACTCAGGATAAAATACAAGTTCCTTGCCATGGCCTGCAAGGCCCTGCGATAGATTGACCTCTTCCCACCTTATCTCCCTCCACGTCCCCACCCATTCGCTGTGTTGGTCACACTGACCTCTCTGACCCTGTTCATTCCATTCCCTCCTGGCCTTTGCCCTGGCACTGCCTAACACCAAAGTGCTCTCTCTCCAGATCTTTGCATGGATCTCTCCTCGTCGATTAAGCCTCAGTTCAAATATCACCTCCTCCAAAAGGCCTTTCCCACCACCCTTGCCAAGCCAGGGCCCTGACACCTGCAACCAGTGGCTATTTGACCCCAGTTTACCTTCCTTATAGCGTTTGTCAGCGCCTGAAATCATCTCAGTGGTTTGTTTACGTGTCTGTTGTGTCTCTCCACTAGAATGGAAGCTCTCTGAGGGCGGACTCTGTCTGCCCTGCTCACTGCAGCATCCCCAGTGCTTGGCACGTAGTAGGCAAGCAAGTAAGATTTATTTGCCTTGCTATCTGGTGTGGCTTGTTTCCGACTCCATCACTGCTTCTGGCTGATACAACTATATCAAAGTTCTCTCTGCCACGGGTGTTTGTATTTCAGTAGCACTGGGCTAGTTGTGCAAGGAGTTAAGCAGTGGAATTTCAGACATCATTCAGCAGGTATGGAACAACCGTTGGGTTTCTTCTATGGTGCCTTTAAAAGCACAGGATTCATTAAACGTCTGCTCAGTACTGGGTGCCATGGATACATAATAAAGGGAGCAAAAGCTTCCATGGCTCAGTGATGCATTATAATATGCCTCATGTTGTGCCTCGGTGGGTGAGTGTGGGTTTTGTGAAGCCAAGAAGGGGGCAGGGTAGAGTAGAAGTCAGCAAAGGCATTGCATGTAGGTGCTCAACTATGTCATGAACTCGGCGTGGCGGCCCCTCCACCTTCTGCCTGCCGGAGACTGCGTGAGTCCAGGAAGCCAGGGGTGGTGACCCCATGGCTCTGAGCTGGAACCAGTGCCTGTGTCTATCTGTAAAGCCAGGGAGAGTGTGGTTCTCTGCTGGCAGTGAGCTGCTTCTTCTTACGTGGCCTTTGTGTTCTGCTCTCCCTGCTGCCTCAGGTCTCATCATCCACGAGGGACCCTCTGTGTATCGCATCTTCAAACGGTGGCAGGCTGTCAACCAGCAGTGGAAAGTACTGAACTATGACAAGACAAAAGACCTGGAGGATCAAAAGTCAGGGGGCAGGACCAACCCCCGGACCTCCTCGTCCACGCAGGCCAATATCCCCCCCTCGGAAGAGGAAGCAACAGGCACCCCTGCCCCTGAGCAAGGCCCTGCCCGGGCGGCCAGCCACCCCTCAGGCCCTCCGTCCCATCACCACTGTGCTTACACCATCCTGCACATCCTGAGTCACTTGAGACCTCATGAACAGCGGAGCCCTCAGGGCAGCAGCCGAGAGCTCGTCATGAGAGTCACAACTGTGTGAGAGGAGAGACCTGGGAGGAAGGCCATGACCATGGCCCGAAGGGGCTGGGGGCAGGTGTGGGGGGGCCCGGTGGTGCCCAGGGGCTGGCGCTGGGGGCAGGCAGAGGGTGGGGGGCCCAGAGCAAGCTGTGGAGAGCAGGAATGAGACTGGTGCCAGGAGTGGCTTTGTGATTTCCTATCAGTCAATGCCATTCTCCAGACAACAGCAACGAAAACCAACACAAACGCAACGAGGAAGTGCAATACAGGCTGAACCTCGCCTAACAGAACAAAACCACCCCCTGCACCCACGGGCAAGGCACCCAGGAGAAGCAGAGGCTGTGGGAGGGCAAAGCCCTGCGACTGGTGGTGGTGTTGGAGGCAAAGGGGGCCGAGAGGAAAAGCGTTTGTGCCCTCTCTGTTCTGACCTTGAGTTTGTTTTTGTTTCTTCCTGGGCTTTGTTCAGCAGGCAGTTGGGGAGGGGGAGGGACGGGTGAGGGCTGGCAGGGACACGCAGACTTTGGGGCCTCTGGGCTCACGGGGTGGGCAGGATGCTGACTCCCATGGCTGATAGCTGCAGGGGCCTGGGGGGACGGTGCAGGGAGGGATGGTACAGGGAGGGGACGTTGGTGGGAGCCACCAGAGGGAGAGCTATGTCTCCTCCCTTAGGAGCCTTCCAATGTCAGGTGGGCTCAAAAAGGGCTTAAGTTTGGAGATGGGTGTTTTTCTGTACCCTTGTTACTTTATTTTATGGTGATTTGGCTCAAAGATGTTTACAGGAAACACATGCACACACACACACGCACTTGCCTAGAGAAAAGTATAGATCTCCAGTGGGTATCTCAAGCACAGTTCTGCTGTTGTGGCTCCAGCCTTGGAAGCTGTCAATCCAGGAGCGAGATTCTCAACTACCCAACCCCACTCTATGGCCAGGACACGCTCAGTGCCACGCCCCCTCCTGCCGTGGCACGTGCACAGACTCCCCCGCTGCAGGGCACCCCCACCCAGGGTCTCCCAGGAGAGCAGCTGCAGTGGTTGGGAGGAGGCTGGCCAGTGTGCCTCAAGGCGTGGAGTGGAGACCAATCTAAGTATTCTTGCTGCTTGGGACCCTCCCAAAGAGGCAGTTTGGCTACTGCTCTGTGCTTCATGTCCCCTGGTCCTTCCCAGGCAGTTGGGTGGGCCCAGGGCCCTGGCAGGGAGCACGTCCCTGGAGCCCACCTGCTTGTTCCTGGGACCCTGCCAAGGAAGGCCCCTGGGTGGTGACCTGCAGAGTTTCTCCTTGTCATTGCACAATGGCCGTGTCATCCATGGGTATTAAAGGGACACTGTCAAGTACTTTTTTAAACTAGTTTTTAGGGTTTTTTAAAACTCTCTGTTGTTTGTAATATTCTCTTAAAAGCTTGAAAATAAAATTTCTTTCCCTACCACTAGTGTCCTTTCCATATGTGAGTTTTTCTTTCCTCTTTCCCATCCTCCCTATGATGAAAACTCCCTTCTCTCTCCCTGTGTCTGCCCCACCCCTGCAGTCTCCCCCACTGCAAGAAATCAAGTGCGTTTTCAGTTCTCCTTAAAGGGTGCAGATGGGGCAGGACAGGCAAGGATGCTCTCTTCAGTCTGTGTGCATGTGTGCGCATTTGTGTCCATGCGTGCGCATGTGTGTGTGTGTCTGCAGGTGTGTATGGACCTGCAAGGAAGCACTGGGACTCCTGGCCTCTTCTTGGCTTTCTAGCAGACAAAGTCCTTCCAGTCAAAAAGAGGAAGAACTCCCAAATTTTCCCAAGGGTGCTGCCCAGGAACCCTAGAAGCAGAGACCATTAGTGCTGGGAGGAGGTCTGGGGAGCTCCACTGCACTGGATCATTTCACAGAAGCTGGGAGAGCTTCAAAAGAGGGGTGCTAGAACTTCATTTCCCTGACAGTTTTCTTCTGAATATTAGACAACAGCCCCCAAGCTAAGGCCCCATGAGAGGGTTTGGACATACCACGAGGCAGCAGAGAAGACCCTTCCTCCCTTCCACCTGGCCTGGCCTGTGTCCCTCCCAGGGGCTGAAGGGTGTCAGGCAACGTCATCAGTGTGATATGCCCGGGCTCGAGAAGCTTCCTGCCTGATAAGGCTCACAGTCCATAGGGTTAGAAAAGACATAATTGGTGAGAGACCAAATTGGTGAGAGACATACAAGGAGAATATACAAACAAGTGAAAACCAACAATGCTATATAAATAGGCCAGGTAGAGTAGGGTGTCTACTTCAGTGTGGTCTAGGAAAAGGCCATTCAGTTCAGTTTCATATTTATGCAGGCTGTAGATGTCTTGCATGGACTATTTATTTTCAAAAATGTATTAGAATGCAACAAAGTATGCATATCATCAAAACTATAGTGGCCATCACATTGTCTCTCTTCGGTGATTCACAGGACACTTTGGAACACTGGTCCCCAACCTTTTTGGCACATGAGACCAATTTCATGGAAGACAATTTTTCCACAGACCAGGGGTGGCTGGGGAAATGATTTCAGGATGATTCAAGCTCATTACATTTATTGTGCAGTCAGACCTCTCTGCTAATGATAATCTGTATTTGCAGCCACTCCCCAGTGCTAGCATCACCACCTCAGCTCCGCCTCGGATCATCAGGCATTAGATTCTCATAAGGAAAGCACAACCTAGATCCCTCGCGTGCTCAGTTTACAGTATGGTTCCCACTCCTATAGAATCTAATGCCACCTTTGATGTGACAGGAGGCAGAGCTCAGGTGGTGATGAGAGCGGTGGGAGCAACTGTAAATACAGATGGAAATTCACTCGTTCGCCCACTGCTCACCTCCTGCTGTGCGGCCCAGTTCCTAACGGGCCATGGACTGGTACCAGTTAGTAGCCCAGGGGTTGGGGACTGCAGCTTTAGAATCTTACAGTCATTCAGGGTCATCATTCTGAATATGTTGTACTGAAGAAGAGAGGCGATTACTAACAAATTCTTATAGAATGCTGGAGTTTCTTGGATCTTGGTAATGCAAGATCCAGGACAGCAAGGACCTCATCTGTCTTGCTTACTGCTATATTTTCAGGATCTACAGCAGTGCCTGGAACATAGTAGGTACTCAATAAATATTTTTGAATGAATAAGACAGTCTTGGAAGAGTACAGGAGCACCTTCAGCATCCAGGAGACATGCCTCCTCTGCCTTCAACTGACACTCTAATGCTCAAGGTCAAGAATAGAAAAGAAAGGTCAAGTTTTGACTTCTCCACTCAACAGGATGGTAAATTCCCTGAGTCTTTGGTAATGGAGTTTATGGGTACAGAAATGAATGAATTAGGGTTTTATATTTTATATACATCTGTGGGGAGCAAAAAAGGTACATCCTAATAACCAGAGACCACTGTCCCCTTCCAGATGGGCAAGTCATCTATCATAGCACCAGGCAAATGTCTAGATTTCCTTTGGAGTTATTTAATGCAGAGCAATGAGCAGTATCCCAGAGAATTGACTTGTACATCATCTGCAAGTATGGCCCATGGATAGGACAAGATACTAGCTGACACCTAAAATTCTTACTATGTGCAAGGCACCAAATTAAATGTTTTACATGTACTAACTCATTTAATATTTTAACAACCTGGTGACGTAGATACCATTATTAACTTCATTTTGCAGATGTGGACACTGAGGCAAAGACCTTAAGAAGCCTGCTCATAATCACCAGCCGGGATCCCATCCCAGGCCATCTGGCTTTGATCATAACCATACCGTCACATTTCCTCTAGACAGCCAGCTCCAATTTAAGGGAATCTGGGCCAGGTCAACCAGGGAGGTTAGCATGGCAGAGATCTATAGGAAAGTTTTGGAGGTTGGGGAAATTGGGGCTAAATAAAAATAAACTATTTCTGTCCCCTGCAGAAAAAAAGCTGAGTTTATCTATCTAGTTTAATCAATTCTTGCTGTTATCCAGATAATATCCTGGTCGGATGAAACCTTTATAATAGGGTTGGCTATATCTGGGAACAGGGAATTCTGAAAAGGCAATAGAAATAGTTCAGCCACATTGTTACAGGAAAGGGCCAGGTTCCATAAGGATTCACAGAGGCCTTTCCTCCTGCAAAAAAAAAAAAAACACAGTAAAAAATGGTCCTATTTGTGGACTAGACGTTTGGCCTTGGTTCCAAGTGAGTGGTGCAGAGTGGCAGGTTGGGGTCTAGTCACAGTCTATAGCATTTAGATTTAGAGGGACCCCACAAATATGAGGCTTTGTCCCTATCTCTTGAGAAAATCAGATCTGTCACCATCTGAGGGCACAGGAATTCAAAAATCATAGAATTTTTTAGTCCCTATGAGATAATTCACCGCTATTCCTTTGTTTTGCCCATGAGATCCGGATGTATGGCAGAGGGGAGGGGCATGGTTTGATACAACAATAACCAATTTCTAGGGGTAATGATGTGCTTTGTAAGCAGAATTCATAATATTGTGGTGGTTAGAGAGTGAAGGTGGAGGGAGAAACACATTTTGCATGGTCCCTCATCGCCTTGTCTCAAATTATCCTGCTTGTTAGTAATAAGCAGTCATGGATGACTTTCCCCACAGGGGTCTGATCCTACAGAAGTTCTGCCACAGTCCTAACACCTTCTCCCCACACCTGCTCACCCCCCCGTATGGTAGAATGGAATGCAGGAACTGGGAAGTGCTCGGGGTGCCAAGGACGATATGATGAAAATGTAGGTTGGCCCCAGGTGGTGAGGATCCAGGACTGGTTTCACCCCAGCTCTGAGCCCAGGGTCTGGGCTGCACTGGGTTGGCGGCCGGCTGGTTAGTTAAGCACCTGCTCGTCTCACCACAGGTTCTTCCTCACCTGCCTCCTTCCCGCTCCACCTAGCCCATCTCCTCACCCAGCCCATCACAGGAACAAGGGTCCACTGGCTTTCTTCCTGCCCAAGCCGGCCAGGTGGGAACTATAGACTTCAGCATCCTTCTGCTCCCGACTGCTGGTGGCTCAGGTGAGTCCCTCCTCTTTAAATGTGTTACCCGTCACCACGTACCTGAACACCTCACCCTCACACTCAGCTCCCACCGCGGGGAAGGCAGATGTTTAGGGGGAAAAGGAGGGGCTGTGGCCAAGTGGACTCGGGGCTATGGAAGACAAGAGAAGCAGGCTCTCTCTGTGTCCATGTCCTCTTAGTTTTTGAGAGGGAAAAGTCATAAACCCAGAGCACCCTCAGCGCCCTTGGCGTTGGCCGCAGTCTGGTGCTCTGCCGTCCGGCTAAGGCCCAGCTCGCCAGGAAGGTGCGACACCCGGCAGACGGCACCGTGCACAGAGCACGGCCAGGCTGCCCACGGCCGAGGGAACCTCTCTGCACAGAGGGGACAGTGTGTTCATGCATCTGTTAAATAAGAAAGCAGGATGCTCAGGTTCTGCATGTAATAATACTGTTTTTTTTTCCCCAACCACTTTGGGGAAATAATAAAAATAGCTAAATATCCAGTGCTTTATGTATGCCAAGCTCTGTCTCAAAGCTTTCACCACGTATTAAATCATTTAATTCTCGCAAACAACGCTATGAGTTGAGAACTATTATTCCCATTTTCGGGTGGTGAAACTGAGGTCTGGGGAGGTTAAGGACGATGCCCGAAGTCACACAGCTACACACGGCAGTGCCGGAATTTATACCTCAACAGTTTGGTGCCACACGTTGGGCCGTAGCCACTGCATCGCGCTGCCCCCAGGAAGACGGGGATGCATTTGAAAGGTTTATCCTGATTTCAGAGGCAATGGAGGAAAATAACTGAGGCCTATCCCAGCTGGGTATTACCCTCTATGTCACGTGCCCCTCAAGGTCAGCTGAGGTCCGCTCCAACCTCTCCATCCTCAACCTATGGGAAGGGTGTTACCCTCAGCAGGATTTCTAATAATTCAGACCCTAAAATTTCTCCCATTTGCACCCCGCTTCAATATCCAGAATCTCCTGAACTCAGGGTTCCCATTCTCTGTCATCGTATAGCAATCCCTTTATTTCAATCCTATGTTAAGCCCAAATGTTGGACATTGATTCTCTACCCCACCTTAAACAATACTGCTTACATTTGTGTATAACACAGTCTTACTGGAAATTCGCAGGTAACGCGAAGCTTATTCATATAAAAACCTGGGATTTTTATGTGAATACTGAAACTGTTATGTGGAAGGTTCCTATGAGGTGGATATCTCCAATATACATTAGATATAACCACCTTCCAGGATCTCTTCGCCTAGTTATTAGACACTAGCAAGAAGCTAAGCATTTCCATCAAACTTTTCTCATGAAAGAACCTGGCAGCTTATTCTTACTAACTGTAAATAAGCAAGCCAGCAGTGTTCCCTTTCCTGGGGAATTTGCATTTTTAAGAGGAGATAATTCTCAAGCAGGAGGGGTAATTCCATAAGGGGTGGGATTTCAAT